GAAAAGTGATGTAGGGAACACTGTAAGGATAATGTGGATCGCACTAAGGAACGAGGGAGACATGAGCATGTGTAGTGACGGCACGAGGGTGAGTTAGCCTTCGAATCATTACTGAACAAAATTTGTTGCGTGTGAAAGAGGCTTGAGTGCAAATTCCAAAATTTCTACACTAAACCATTTTATTGTTTACTTTCGACGTTTTTGGTTTCCCGTTTTTGTGTAAAAAAAAGAGTATTAAAATGCAAAAAGGAAACAACAACAAATGGTACTCACGTATTACACACCGGACCAAACCCTAACCCTAACCCTAAACCATCAAACCCAGACCCTAACGTTTTCGTTTTTAGCAAATGGCGGACAAAAACGATAGGGTCCGGGTTTGATGAGTATATAACTCTTATTTCTTGGGTTAATATTTACGGGTTCATATAATTAATTATAAGAGGTGAAAAGCTGCATTCACTTCCTTTGAAGATAATACACGGCTCGACATTTACTATAGAGAGATTTTCTCATGACAGTGTGCGTGACGTGCATTTGTTTCGTTTCATCTTTATGTCTGTTTGGAATATGGTTCCGGCACGTATTGATTTTTCTATCCACACGGGTGTTTCACGTGCGAGACACCGGAAGGGAATTACATGACTATTGTCTAATGCGGGAGGTTATTTGCGTGGTGGAGGGGGGTCGCGAAGATCTCTGTCCGGTGGATTGTTGACCAATCACAGTAATCAACCGTTTTGTTGGTTTTATTTGATCGACCGAGGGCCCTCGGTGTTGCGTTCTTTGCGCGCGCGAGCAGGGTTTGTTTGCTTTGGTTCTCGACCGCGCGACTTACCAGGATGAGTTTTATTTACTTGCATGGGTGGCGGTCTCGTTTTCAAAAAGATCCAAGCTGTTTTTCGATTTGCCGAATGTAGATGAATAACGCTGGGACGTTTTCCGACAAACGGTACTTAAACTACTAGACTACTGCTAATCACCGATCCATCCTGCGCATATGGCAACCCATGCGAAAATGCTCATCACTATTTTTCTTAGAATGTTCTTTATACAATCAACAAAGAAAAACCATGCTTACAGCTATTCAAGATGTGTGTGATAGTAATTCTGTGATTCTATCTGTTATTTTAAACGGCATCTGACAAATCATTAAAATGAAATTATATTTAAAAATGTACATCAGTATATATGCAAATCTAAACGATCCCAGTAGACTTCTTTCTATACACCTTTTGTATTATAACATTTCCCCTGAACTGTCAATCTTTCTGTCTCTGTTTCTAATTATTGTTTGTGATGTAATTAGTTATTGTAAATATCTTTGGAGAGGGGTTTCATAAGTTGTAAGAACTTGTCCCCGATCCATTTCACATTGTGAATAAAATATGTTTAAACTAAAAGAGGCTAATCCGTATCTGTTCCTGTGTGGGTTCATCTCGTACCTCGACCGGCAAGAGATTGGAAACACAGAAAAGTAATATAAAAAAAGGATACGGACAGACGTATCGGGAGGTCTTTCTCCTTGACCTGGTTGGTTGATTCTTTGTTGATTGGTTGGTTGGTCTCTATGTTTTGCTCAAAGAATTCCAATACTAGACTATGCCAGCGTCTCATTTTGACTCATGTTTTTACATATCTGAACGTTACAATATATGTGAGAATGGGTGAGTGAGGGTGTATGGTTTTCCACCGCTTTTAGCAATATTTTAGCAATATCACGGCGGTGGACACCAGATATGGGCTTCACACATTGTACCAATGTGGGGAATCGAACCCGGGCCACGAGCGAACACGTAGGCTACCCCACCGCCCTGTGATTGTTCGTGATCGAGTCATATTGAACACCGTTTGGAACAATATCCTAATCATGTATCTAGTGAGTTGAGTTTTACGCTGCTTTTAGCAATATGACACCGAGGTATTCCAAAAATGGGCTTCACTTACTTTACCCATTGAGGGAATCGAACCCGGGCCTTCGGCGTGACGAGCGAACGCTTTAACCACGAGACTACCCCAATGCCGATCCGAATTATAAAAAAGGATATCCGCTGAGAAGAGCGGGAGGAAACCCAACGTGATGCAGGCCGAAAGAGGTTCCAACAGATGTTACCAAGATATTGCTATTTAGCACTGAGGTGTTGAAACGAGGGAGTGAGTGTGTGAATGAGTGAATTGGGGAGTGAGTGAGTGTGTGAGTGAGTGCGTGAGTGAGCTAGGTCTAAAGCCGCTGAAACCCGCATTCTAGTTACATCACGCCGGCTTAATTTGGGAGGCGATCCTATAGTGATGAAAGCGTTCGAACCAGCAGTTCCAAACTACACATGAAACATGAAACACTGGACAGGCAGTCGCCGGTTTGGGTAGTTTAAATGTTTAATTTGTTTGCTGCTTAATGCCGCACTCATTCCGCAGGAACATTCCGGTTATATGCTCCGGTTTGTATGATCCCCAGGGAGTTGACATTGATAATACGACGTGCCGTTGAGATTGACATCCAGTGATCGAGGGGAAAAACAAAGCGCCTTTGAGCAGCTGAGCTGTATCTGCGTGTATGCGTAATGTGTGTGTGTGTGTGCGTGTGTGTGTGTGTGTGTGTGCGTGCGCGTGCGTGCGTAAATGTCGGGTTTAGAATTAGACATTACAGTGTTTGACTGTAAAAAATCCCAAAACATGAATAGTATATTTATTTATTTATTTATTTATTTACAATAAATCAGACTTCATATAAAATCTCTGAAAAAAAGAGAGAATATCATGGATTTCTAGCTGCAGACTAAGTGTTAGGTCACATAATGGATTATCTACCTCTGAAAAAATTTCAGGATTGTCTGTATTAGGGTGTCCTCCCATTATGCAGACAGCCAGTTCGCAGACACCTTAAAACAACAACATTTACGGTTCAGTGAACAGATTATCTACTACCTGTTACCTACACATTATAATGGAATAGTCCAAATAAAAACACAGGAACAAACTGAAGCTATATTATTTATTTTGAAAGATGGACGAAAAGACAGTAATTTGAATTTTCATTGCTGCAATATAAAACCAGTTTGTTTTCATAAACATTTCTGTTTAACCTTCTAGTCGGCATCATCATATTGAAAACATTAGCTTAGCTATTAGGAATTGCGACACTGTTGTATCATATAAATCAAATAAAGTCAAATGTGAACCTAAATATTATTCATATGGAATAAAGAAGTTATATGTTTTGCACACAATATTAAGATATATGACGAGTGCACTTAATTACGATTTATTTAGAATAAATATTCAAAATATGACGCATCATGACAATGTGGCCAAAGACATAAACTACTCAAAGACATAAACTGTTACAATCTTTAGAAAGTATCGTTAAAATTAGAACACTGATTGGTATTATTCGTATCTTACATGGCAATGCAGGTGTCTCATTTACTGCAAATCAGAATGTTTTCAAAAATGTTCATATCTATACCTCTCCAACAAAACGTAACTTCTGTTTGTACATATGCTATTATTGGGAGGGGGCTTTTCTATCAATAAACACAATCAAACATCTCAGTGACAAACCTGTTTTTAAATTCGATAGTAATTGATAGTAAACTAAAATTTGAGAAGAGAAATCATTTATCATTTAATCACAACAAAGTTCTATTTACTCACAATCAAACTTCTCAGTAGCGAACCTGTTTCAGGCTCACCCTGCTCTACTCACTAGACAGTGGACTGTTCCATTGTACTCGTAGGTATTACCCTAATTAACCTTCTAGTTTAGTGTCTGTCAACTGGCTGTCTGTCAAATGGGTGTCTGTCAATTGGGAGATGTCTGTATTAGGAGCAGCTACTCTTGCCTGATCTGCAAAGAAATCATTCGCAATGTTTGCTATTTCACCACTATCATCATACAGGTTATCGTTGTGAATTATGGAAGGAAAACTGTTAATAGTGGTGGCACGTTTACTTTTTATATAATTCTAAACTAAACGCCTATATATGTTTTTGTACCATGTTCATCGTTTATTTCTTCATCAATTATTAATGTACATCTTGTTTGCCTTTGAAAGTTGGTTACATCGAAGAATACGTTATTACTTGTTATGAATTACCATGTCAAACTCAATAATAGTTGGCAAAGAAACTGATTTATTTTTTATGTTTTGGGTGGCAATTGTCCTGGATGGCAATTTCCTAGGTGGCAATTGTCCTAGAACCAAACTAATATACTCATGCCAATAATGGTTGTCACCCCTTCAATTTTTTATTGGAGAGGGTGTGGGGGGTATACAACAGGGGAGGGGTGACAACCATTATTGGCATGAGTATATATCCACCATTAATGTAAAAAAAATGCGGCAACTGCAAGCCATGAAGTGTAACCGAGGCACTGAACCGCCGTACAACAGACGAATGTTGACGAGAATCTTCGGCTGGGGAAATGGCGTCGCATTGTGGTATTGCTATATATGGAAAAGGAGCAGTGTTCAGCGGTTATGTTGGCTAAGACCTTTGGTGATCTAAGGTAGTTTTATTTTGCCAAGGATTGCGACCAGTGTCAGGCATGATTCATATTAATTTTAACAAGAATCCGTTAGATTTCTACTGGCATTGGTGAGATATTTTGAACAGTACTTTATTATTTTGTACTTTATTTAGTCTGCGTCTTTGATGTCCAATGCAGCCATGCAGTTTAGTATAAATGGACAGTGCCTTTTAGTGAGCGGTCATTTTCAAAATGTGTATCAAATTCATACTTTATGAATAGAGTTTGTCAGTAAAATACAACTTCAGGACGTTTTCTCGGTGATGGAGTCCTGTCCGGGATTCGAGTCCACTCATAGTATGAGACACCTAACCGTCAGCCCACAACTCACTAAGTTGGAGACCGAAACTCGTTAGCCTAGGTCACTTACTTTGTGTAGCACATTTTACACATCTAAACATTGGTTGATACTTTTGGTCAACATTCACGGTTCGTTTTATATCCGGGCGCACCTGGTAAGTCGATTTTTGCAGCAACCGGAAATAACGTGTCCTGCAGCAATGGCGGACCTACTAGGTCTGCTGTCGCTGTTTCTCCTATTATTAGTAAGTTTTGTTAATGAAAATATTGGTTATTTATGTTTTTATTTATTGATCTGATCTTTACGATTACTCTGTGTTGTTTTAACCTAAAGCACATTGTTGATGATTTCTGGAAACACAAGAAATCGCTGTTCCTGCTATACACGTATCGTTATTGATGTCAGCCTCACGTCGAAATATTTGTTGACTACTTCGTGAGTCTGTAACAGTCAGTATCGCTGCACATGATTTTAGGCCTTGTTCATTTGTTTGAATATAGGCTTATGTTTGAATCCTCAGGAGCAGTGCACTTTATTGGACAGTGGACACACTTCTGTGACCATACCTCTCAACTAGGGGTTTTTGCTCGGCATGGTGCTTTGCCCCGAGAATCGTAAATGGGTATTTGATCGTTCAAGAGCTACCCAACCTTAATGGTCGCATTACTCGTAACACATCCTGACCAGGAAAGAGTTCCCTCCGTTCCCCCATATTCTTTCTTTCGCAGATTAACAGAGGTTACGCTAAGTGGTTCGAACCTATATATTGTAATTAATTTGGGGGATTTGAGTTATTTTTGTGAGTTCTCTAGTTCTAGTAATTGTTGTTAGATTTTGTGAATAATGTTACAGTATATGTTGATTTATAAATATTATTTGGGATGGGGGAACGGGAAGAACTCTTACCCCTGACCAAGCCATGTCAAATAACTACTATTTCTGTGACTTTCAGGTCTATTTAGGAGAATGCAAGCTAACGGTGGAAGAGTGTAAAAACCTTGGATTTTCCACAAATCTGCTGTGCAGTAATTGTGAAGAGCTTGACAAGTTCCAGCTCTTACCTCTCAAAGATTCTTGTCAAGAATGTTGCCAAGAAGACAGAACTGAAGAGGAAAAGGCTGGTGTAAGTTTGATAGCTTTTTCTAAGCTAAATGGATTGTGTTATTTTGTCGAATGAATGGCTGATAATGTACAAATGATGTATAATGATAAACTAGTGAATACTAACTTAAATATAGAACAAACTTTATGGATAACAACTTCTTTTTATTCGTAAGTGCGACGTTTCGATACAGATTCTTGTACCGTTGTCAAGCATTAATGGAACATGAAGAAGGGGGAAGTATATATACTGGATGTAACAATGTAACAAAGAAAACAACATAATTAACATAATTGGCTAGGCAGTAAGCTGATGAAGCCATAGAGTAGACAAAGGACAGGCGTGGAAGCCAATGATGTACAAATAATAATGAGATGTTTATACAGCAGAGTTTATACAGTAGATTGGGCTTGGTGGCTCTGGATGAGTGCATCATAAGCGGATGGAATGAAGTATCCTTGGTCTCGGTTGATGGTAGGCTTTTGGCGTTTGATGTGGATGGCTTCGGTGAGCTTGCGTTTAGTGAAGTCTGTTTGTTAGCAAGAATGGTGATGTCAGACCACTCTATTTGATGATTGGGGCTTGCTTTGATGTGGTCAAAAATGGCTGATTTGCTGTTGGAATTGGTAACAGAGGTCTGATGTTATTTCACTCGGGTGTTGATGGGTCAGGACGTTTCGCCTATGTAGCTCTGCCCACAATCACAGTTTATTTTGTAGATGACACATTTTGGGTTGTTGTTCTTGACGATGGCTGGTTTTCTTCCATTGGCATGGAGAATGTTGTTAAGGCTGGAGGACGCGGTGAAGGTGGTATCTATGCCAGCTTGTTGTTTTAGGAGATGGCTGATTTGATGTGACGGTTTGCCAATGTAGGGGATGGATATCTTGATGGGGGCTGAATCTGGTTTGGGTCTTTTGGTAGGAGGTGACAGGGTTGCAGCAATGGGTCTGTTGACTATTTGGGATGGAAAGTGGTTAAGTTCTACGAAGACTAACTTGAGGTGTTCGATTTCATCTTGTAGTTTAGTTGAACAGATGTTCTTGGCCCTTCTGGTTAATGTAGAGATGATGCCGGTCTTAACTTTAGGTTTGATGCTTGGAGTTGTAGTGGATGTACTGATCCACGTGGGTAGGTTTCCTATATACAGTGGTCTGGAGTTGGTTGCAGGAGGTACGGGACACAAGGACGTAAAGGAAAGGTAGTTGCTGGTTCTGCTCGGTTTCCATGGTAAACTTGATGCGGGGTTGTTGGTTGTTGAGATGGGTCAGAAGTTGAGTGGGATCTTGCTGAGGTTGGAGGATGACGAAGGTATCATCCACTTTGCGATACCAACATGTTACCAATTCCGACAGCAAATCAGCCATTTCGGACCACGTCAAAGCAAGCCCCAATCATCAAATAGAGTGGTCTGACATCACCATTCTCGCTAACAAACAGACAGACTTCACTAAACGCAAGCTCACCGAAGCCATCCACATCAAATGCCAAAAGCCCACCATCAACCGAGACCAAGGATACTTCATTCCATCCGCTTATGATGCACTCATCCACCAAGCCCAATCTACTGTATCAACTCTGCTGTATAAACATCTCATTATTATTTGTACATCATTGGCTTCCACGCCTGTCCTTTGTCTACTCTATGGCTTCATCAGCTTACTGCCTAGCCAATTATGTTAATTATGTTGTTTTCTTTGTTACATTGTTACATCCAGTATATATACTTCCCCCTTCTTCATGTTCCATTAATGCTTGACAACGGTACAAGAATCTGTATCGAAATGTCGCACTCATGAATAAAAAGAAGTGGTTATCAATAAAGTTTGTTCTATATCGTACTTCCCAACTTCTAAAATGCCACTCAAGGAAGTTACTAACCTAAATGTCTGGTCACTGTTGCATCACTTTTATATTCTTGCACATCTTCATTGGGCATTACACTGGTCACCTTCCACCATATGCTATCATGCTCCAGTGTCAGCCATTTTTCTGCCACTTTGGTCCATTTGCATTGCACTTGGGCTTTTTATGCTGAAATATTCACTGAGTTTTCACTGGATTAGAATTATTTTGGGGTGGAGGAAGTAAGGATTAGGGTTTGGTGACTTTAAATGAACATGTCAGTAGGTACTTACTGATTCTGTCGTCAACAGTTGTGAGTGGTGGGCAATGTCTCTGTCTTTTCCATAAGGATTTTACGCTCACAGAATTAGGCACAAGAAGGCTCAGAATTTGACGTCCAAGCATTTTCTATGGACACAAAATTCCTTAAAATGGGAAGGGTACGTCTTTTGTTGTCCCACTTTGTGAAGGGATGTTGCAGTGTGACGTGTTGGTGTGAGGGGTCATTAAAGGGGATCGAATGATTCACTGTCAAGTGTTGAAATTCCTTGTCCCTAAGGTATGGTTATGCCTTCCAGTCACTAATAATTGTGGTGCCAGGTTTTACATGTTATCATTAGCGCATCCTCGATAATCTCCAGGGTATACGTTACGATAAATCTGCACTATACCCTGGATGCATCTACGGCTCGGCCCAATGATTTTATTGCCTCCCTTGGCTGGATTTTTATCCAATCAGGTGTCAATGCTGGGAAGTTGAGCATACCAATCACAACTCACTTTGCGGAGCCAGCAAAGGGAGGTAATAATATTATCGGACCAAGTCGTAGATGCATCATGATCCGGGGTATAGTGGAGATTTATCGTAACATATACCCTGGAGATTATTGAGGATGTCATTAGAGGGATTTCAAATTTCTTGTGACAACACGCTGGATAAAAGTAAGAAATAGAATACGTCCCAACAACAGCTTACTTCCTGTATCTGGCACACACTCTCTTGCTTCCTTTGCTCTTGTAGGACTTGTCTTTGCACAAATAGAACTTTCCTATCCCACACTTCTCACAAATATTGCCCTCATTCTCAATTAACCTATTCATTCTCAAGAATTCGGAATCCCCACATTGCGTATTTCAATGTGAAAAGCCAAATTCTGGTGCCCTTTCTCATATTGCTGAAACCATACTCGTCCTGGAATGATAAACCCCCATTCCCATCATTTAACAAATTGAATGTAACTTTGTGATGTTCTATTTCAGCTTTATCCATATGCAGAGTTAATTGTGTGCGGATGAAAATTGGGAAGGTATCCACAGGTTCAGGGTGAGTAGTAATCAACAATGATGTTGATAGTGTATTATGCATACTTGTTGCTAACAATGTTAGGTGGTGGGGTGCATTTTGGCAGATAGTCCTAAACAATTTAAAATATCTCATTGAGCTGTTTACATTTTTAAGTTATGGTCGTGGCATGAACAACAGTAATGTTGTTACCATGGTTGCTTCAAATATTTTTGAAGTTTTGAGTTTGGTCACATTTGTCATGTACAAAAATTCTAAATCAATGCAAAGGCCACAATTTTTCAAAATTTACAGATCTATCATTGGAAACTGATATCCAAAGTACTTTAAGTACCGTTAATCAACTGTAATGGGGGACATTTTGATTGTCCAGATGGGACTGAATGGGAGAAATTGCATGTCTGACTGAATTTTCACTTGTTTTATCTGTTACAGCTTTTGTTAAGAGCTCCAAGCCTGACCAGTTTCCTGGACTCGAAATCAAATACGCCAGAGGCGCAGACCCAATCATCAAGCTTTATGATGAAAACCGAGCTGTGCGAGAAGAACTGGGTATCGAGAAATGGAACACGGACTCTGTGGAGGCCTTCTTTCATGCAAAACTGAAGAAATAAACCCGTCACAATAATTTTGAAATGTCCCACTATGAGCATCATTCTTTGGTTCACTTTTGATAATGTTTTGTACATTTTCTGCAGTCGATGTCATTTTTGATAGCCTTGGAATGTCAGTCATTATCATCTTAATTTCACAAAATGCATAACATTTTCTGTTATTTTTGTACATACTTTCAACACTCATTTTAGCCAGTATGTTGTCTTCCATTAATCTTAAAACCGACAGAGCAAGATATTTGTGAAGTGTAGTTGTCCAATAACTAACTGACACAAATCTAATGGCAAGTGGTTCCTTCACATTTTCATTGCCAAGCAGTGATGACAACAGGAGAATCTATTTTCAGCTGAAAAATTATTGTGTCATCGAATTCAACAGATTTAGATGATTGAAAGAATTTATCAATTTGAGATAAAATCGGCAGAAATCTGTCGATCAGCGGAAAATTGCCATCCCTGTGCCAAGGCAGTTGATTTCTAGTAACAGAAAAATTATGTTTTCTAGCTGTTATAAAGGATGTTATTTAATCTGAATATGGTTGAGAGAAAACAGAAGTGAATCCGAGAATGTTTGCCTCGTAGTGAGATGTCTGATATGCCTATCTATGAAGTCCCTGCATGAAACCAGATGGTTTGTGGGGATGGATGACCGAGGTTTTGTTGGAAGACATTTCCGAGTTGTTGCATCATTGTCCATCTCATTTTGTTTCAAGACCTTGTTTACATTACAAGAAAGTGTATTTATCGTGTGGTTTTATCACATTGTTTACAAGTAAAAGGAAAGTGGACATGACACAATGTTTGTTTTTCTTTCGCATATTTTGTTAATTGTGATTATGAATGTGGGTTTTCTTTGAAATTAGGTCACAGTACTCCATGCTTGCTGTAAGATCATCAAATTGAAGATTCCGTGTTCACGTTACCCTAAGGACGGTGGGGTAGCCTAGTGGTTAAAGCATTCACTCCTCATGCCAAAGACCCGGGAAAAGATGGATAATAATTAAATCCACTAGGTGAGCGAGTGAGTGAGTTCAGCTTAGAAGACCCGGGTTTGATTCCCCACATGGGTACAATGTGTGAATCTCATTTCTGGTGTTCCTACCAGTTGTAATATTGCTAAAAGCGGAGTAAAACCATACTCAGTCACTCATGTCACCCTACCAGTTGTAAATTGTTGCTGGTGCTAATGTTTGTTTGTTGTGCGTCCACTATTCAATATTCCAGCTGTATACTGGCAGTCTGTAAAAAATATGAAATCTGAACAAGCGAAACCAGTGATTAATGTCATGAGCATTGGATACAGTGACATGAATAAACCAAGTCATCGAGCTTGAGCACACAATAGTCACCTTAAAATCATAGTTACCTCTTCACCATGGGTTACGAGGCCAGCAGGGTAGCCCAGTGGTTAAAGTGTTTGTTCGATTCCCAACATGGGTACAAGGTGTGAAGCTCACTTCCACTGGAGACATCCTATGAGGGACATACACATCACATGAATGATATCAGATCACATGAGAATCTTAAGCTGACTTCCACTGGAGACATCCTTTAAAGGGAGATGCACATCTCCTAGGAGATATTGTTGAAACAAATTGCACTATAATGCTTTGAATCATTAGTTAGTTATTACATCACATTAGAATCTTAAGCTGACTTCCACTGGAGACATCCTTTAAAGGGACATACACATCTCCTTGGAGATATTGTTAAAACAAATTGCATTATAATGCTTTGAATCATTAGTTAAATATTAGATCACATGAGCATCTTAGGTGGACATCCCTTGAGGGAGATGCACATCTCCTTGGAGATATTGTTGAAACAAATTGCATCATAATGTTTTGAATCATTAGTTACATATTAGATTACATAAGCATCTTAGGTGGACATCCCTTGAGGGAGATGCACATCTCCTTGGAGATGGTGTTGAAACAAATTGCATCATAATGTTAAGAATCATTAGTTACATATTAGATTACATAAGCATCTTAGGTGGACATCCCTTGAGGGAGATGCACATCTCCTTGGAGATATTGTTGAAACAAATTGCATCATAATGTTTCGAATCATTAGTTAAATATTAGATCACATGAGAATCTTAGGTGGACATCCCTTGAGGGAGATGCACATCTCCTTGGAGATATTGTTGAAACAAATTGCATCATAATGTTTCGAATCATTAGTTAAATATCAGATCACATGAGAATCCTAAGCTGACTTCCACTGGAGACATCCTTTAAAGGGACATACACATCTCCTTGGAGATATTGTTAAAACAAATTGCATTATAATGCTTTGAATCATTAGTTACATATTAGATCACATGAGCATCTTAGGTGGACATCCCTTGAGGGAGATGCAAATCTCCTTGGAGATATTGTTGAAACAAATTGCATCATAATGCTTTGAATCATTAGTTACATATTAGATTACATAAGCATCTTAGGTGGACATCCCTTGAGGGAGATGCACATCTCCTTGGAGATAGTGTTGAAACAAATTGCATCATAATGTTTCGAATCATTAGTTACATATTAGATTACATAAGCATCTTAGGTGGACATCCTTTGAGGGAGATGCACATCTCCTTGGAGATGGTGTTGAAACAAATTGCATCATAATGTTTCGAATCATTAGTTACATATTAGATTACATAAGCATCTTAGGTGGACATCCCTTGAGGGAGATGCACATCTCCTTGGAGATATTGTAGAAACAAATTGCATCATAATGCTTTGAATCATTAGTTACATATTAGATTACACGAGCATCTTAGGTGGACATCCCTTGAGGGAGATGCACATCTCCTTGGAGTTATTGTTGAAACAAATTGCATCATAATGTTTCGAATCATTAGTTACATATTAGATTACATAAGCATCTTAGGTGGACATCCTTTGAGGGAGATGCACATCTCCTTGGAGATGGTGTTGAAACAAATTGCATCATAATGTTTCGAATCATTAGTTACATATTAGATTACATAAGCATCTTAGGTGGACATCCCTTGAGGGAGATGCACATCTCCTTGGAGATATTGTAGAAACAAATTGCATCATAATGCTTTGAATCATTAGTTACATATTAGATTACACGAGCATCTTAGGTGGACATCCCTTGAGGGAGATGCACATCTCCTTGGAGTTATTGTTGAAACAAATTGCATCATAATGTTTTGAATCATTAGTTACATATTAGATCACATGAGCATCTTAGGTGGACATCCCTTGAGGGAGATGCACATCTCCTTGGAGATATTGTTGAAACAAATTGCATCATAATGTTTCGAATCATTAGTTAAATATTAGATCACATGAGAATCTTAGGTGGACATCCCTTGAGGGAGATGCACATCTCCTTGGAGATATTGTTGAAACAAATTGCATCATAATGTTTCGAATCATTAGTTAAATATCAGATCACATGAGAATCTTAAGCTGACTTCCACTGGAGACATCCTTTAAAGGGACATACACATCTCCTTGGAGATATTGTTAAAACAAATTGCATTATAATGCTTTGAATCATTAGTTAAATATTAGATCACATGAGCATCTTAGGTGGACATCCCTTGATGGAGATGCAAATCTCCTTGGAGATAGTGTTGAAACAAATTGCATCATAATATTTCGAATCATTAGTTACATATTAGATTACATAAGCATCTTAGGTGGACATCCCTTGAGGGAGATGCACATCTCCTTGGAGATAGTGTTGAAACAAATTGCATCATAATGTTTCAAATCATTAGTTACATATTAGATTACATAAGCATCTTAGGTGGACATCCCTTGAGGGAGATGCACATCTCCTTGGAGATGGTGTTGAAACAAATTGCATCATAATGTTTCGAATCATTAGTTACATATTAGATTACATAAGCATCTTAGGTGGACATCCCTTGAGGGAGATGCACATCTCCTTGGAGATATTGTAGAAACAAATTGCATCATAATGCTTTGAATCATTAGTTACATATTAGATTACACGAGCATCTTAGGTGGACATCCCTTGAGGGAGATGCACATCTCCTTGGAGTTATTGTTGAAACAAATTGCATCATAATGTTTTGAATCATTAGTTACATATTAGATCACACGAGCATCTAGGTGGACATCCCTTGAGGGAGATGCACATCTCCTTGGAGATATTGTAGAAACAAATTGCATCATAATGTTTTGAATCATTAGGTACATATTAAATCACATAAGCATCTTAGGTGGACATCCTTTGAGGGAGATACACATCTCCTTGGAGATATTGTTGAAACAAATTGCATCATAATGTTTTGAAAACCATTATTATAAATCATTGGTTACATGATATCAGATCACATGACATAGATCAATGCCTCGGATGCTTGTTGTCTCTACCCCCACTAGTGAAGATCCAGGTTAGAATTGATCTTCAGTAACACGTGCTTGTCGTAAGAGGCAACTAACGGGATCAGGTGGTCATTGTATCCCAATTGCACCAATCGATGGTCATGATGTTGATCACAGGATTGTCTGGTCCAGACGCGATTATTTACAGATCACCTCCATATAGCTGGAATATTGCTGAGTGTGGCTTAAAACTGAAATCACTCACTCACTGTCTCCACTCTGTACACTCAAGACACAGGTTGTAACTGAAAAGTCAGAAGATCCAGGATAGTTTAAGAAAGCTTACCTTCTTGCTATTTATACCAAACATACCAGCACATATGGATAACTATTTAAAGCACACCAGCAAGCCAGGCCCACAGTGTTGATATATTATCACAAGGGTGAGATTGGCAGTTTCTGTTAGAGGTTTAGGCATGTGTGTGCTCACCATATTTGAGATTAAATTCATTACAACAATGCAAAATTAAAGAGACTGACTGATTTCCCATTTTGAGCCTCTACAATAAAGTTCAGTTGTTGTGAGTAGTTGACAGTAGCACCCTGCATGTAAAGTACGATGAACGGGTATGATTTTGAAGAATAAAGTAGTCCCATCAAATGCTTCATTGAATTCGGAAATTAGTCTATTCTAATTGATTAATCAGAAGTTGTCACCGAAAAACCTGCACGAAACTGATGATTTTACGGCCGCATCATAGCGGAATACAAGAATATATTAGATACTACTCGTAAAAAGTAACTGTGCCTTATTTGATGTTATGCCATTTTTAATGCAAAAATAACATGATTTGTGGTGTTTTCCTTAATCACTGTTTAACTGTTGACAGGATAATATCGAAATCTGTATGATTTTACGCTGGGCACACGCCGTTGAAGAGACGGGGTGTCAAAAGTCAGTTTACGAATTCAATATCGTGTGTGTCCACCATTGGCGTTAGTTGATGCATGCTTGACAACGACGACGCATAAACGACACTAAGCGATTGAAAGAGCTTGGAGAAAGCTGATCCTTGGCTTGGCTTAAGCGTTGCTCCATTTGATTTGTTACAACACGAGCGACACGTGGGCGGGTATTACCTTACTGAAGCGTGAAGTGACGTCTCTCTCCTTCAATGAACGGCTGCACACGAGGCCAAATGATCCCATCTCTGTATCACAGACCTGTCAGATTGCCACTGACAATGACAAGTTGTGTCCCACCACAAGATGTGATGCTCCCCCACACCTTAACGATGTCTCCACCAAACTGTGGACGTTAAACGACGCACGCGTCAGCATACCGTTCACCTCGCCGTCTGTACACACTTGCCCTAGCATCTGAGCTGTCCAGAATGAAATCTCGACTCCTCAGGGAACAACACACCATCCCAATCTTGTCCTCGTACCGTAGATGCTGTTTACACCAGGCAAGACGTGCCTGTCGGTGACGTTGGAGCAAAACTGGACGTATTGCAGGCCATCGGGGCCGGATGTTGTGCTGCCTCAGTCTGTTCCTTGAACTGATTGGACGCAAAAATGATTGGTCCGAGCAGTCAAACTGGCAGCCTGGAATCGATTCCTTAAAATTAAAAGGTCCAGCCAATGTGATTCTCCAGCTGACGTGACGTCACGCGTGAACGGCCGGTTCGAGGCAAATCTCTCGTGTTCCCATTATGTTGAAAACGTCTCCATCAGAGATGAGATCGTGTTTCGATGGACACCAAAATGTCTGGCCACTTCATTTTGGGCCATTCCACCCTCCAGCATACCCACGGCGCGGAGACGCTGATTTTCTGTAAGCCGCGGCATGACGTACACACACTTTTGGTTGAAATTAACATGTTTTCCACAACGTTTAGAGGCTAGAGGGGGCGGTGGGGTATCCTAGTGGTTAAAGCGTTGGCTCGTCACGCCGAAGACCCGGGTTCGAATCCGCACATGGGTACAATGTGTGAAGCCCATTTCTCGTGTCCCCCGCCGTGATGTTGCTGGAATATTGCTAAAAGCGGCGTAAAGCCAAACTCAGTCAGTGAGAGGCTAGAGAATACATTGTAATGAACCATTCTTCAATTTTCAATATCAGGTGTCTAAAAGCGTGCAAAAAGTGAGTAAGTTCATTGTGCTCAATTGCACGTGCCACGCGCGATAAATAACATCAAATTTCATGCAAAGTACTTTATTTATGGTTATTTTTATAACTTTTCAAATAACGTTATATTTTATGGCTCCGTAACCAACTTACCAAAGAGCTATCCGAACAAGATCGGCTATTTCCGAAAAGGCACGAGGTTGGCCAATGCATAATGGCACACTCCGGCGAAGTGATGACTTAGTATAAGTACTGGTCGCATGGAACTCTGGGTAGGAGTGTGGCATAATGGCAATGTAAGCTGGTTCCCGGCTCCCTTTGCGCGCTAACGTTCGATATGCGAGACGGGGCCCTGCTTAAATGACAATGGAGAGTTATTGTGACGTCATTGTTCGACGTGTCGCTACATATGACGTCACACTAACTGTTCCATTTCGATGGAAGTGCAGAAAGGGATGTCTATGAACTGACTGCTACGTCCATCCGTGGTAAGAGTAAAATCTTCTCTCTTATATTTTCAAAATTATGAGACCCGTTATTTTTCAGGTATGTTCCGTTCGTGAAGATCCGGGGTATGTTCAGACCCATGTGCTTGCCGGCGACTAATTTAGAGGCGACTAACGGGATCTGTTGACTTGGTTGTACATCTGTTATGCAGAGCTCATGCTGTTGATCAATTGTCTGGTCAGACTTGTTATTACAGACCAGCCAAGCTGAATAGATTGAGTGTGGCGTAAAACCAATATCAAACTTGTTATTAGGAGCAGCCAATGTAGATTTCGCTATGTCAGTTTGGTATCTATATGTCTATTCTAGACTACCTATTTTAAGCGTTTACATGCGTTACTACTCACACATCTGGCGCTATGATTACAATGAGGAGAAGATATTTTGGAAAATAACTTTGAAATTTTACTTCAGCAGAAACTCGGCGATGTCATAAATGTAAAAGGTTTGGGATTTTGTAAAAATAAAATAAAACACTCTAAAAAGATGGATAATAATTAAATCCACTGAGTGAGTGAGTTTAGTCTAGAAGACCCGGGTTCGATTCCCCACATGGGTACAATGTGTGAAGCCCATTTCTGGTGTCCCCGCCGTGATATTGCTGGAATATTGCCAAAAGCGGCGTAAAACATACTCACTCACGCTATATAAATGGAGGAAACATTACTATTATTAAGATTATACCCATTTACAGTTACAGTCCGTTTGAGTCAGAAACGGACCGATGAATTGCAAATTTTATCATTGTACAAAATTGCCACATAAATATAAATAGTACACATGTTTATCATTTACTAATACCCAACAGCTTTCTTATAGAAAATTTTCGGACTCTATCAGCCAGGTGTTAGAGAAGCACGTGCACAAGTGCTCACCAAGTTATTGATTCATTAGCCTGTGCTGTGCCGTCTCCATCCTTTCTCGCACACCTGGCTGTCCCTTTCTCTGCACTCCTCCCTCGTAACAAATAGTGAACTGTGTCAAAATTTTAATGATAGTTACTTAAAGAACTTTTTGGTGGAGTCCGGAAAATTTCAAATATAAGAAAGCTGTTGGGTATTAGTAAATGATAAACATGTGTACTATTTATATTTATGTGGCAATTTTGTACAATGATAAAATTTGCAATTCATCGGTCCGTTTCTGACTCAAACGGACTGTACAAGGTGTCATTGTGGTTGGTTGGTTGTTAAACGCCGCACTCAGCAATATTCCAGCTATATGGCGGCGGTCTGTAAATAATTGAGTCTGGACCAGACAATCCAGTGATCAACAGCATGAGCATCGATCTACGCAAATGTCAATGTGGACATGATTGAAAGAGTAGTGGCGCGAATGTCGATATAAGCAAAATAACGGCGGGGTACACATTAAATCAGTGTAAAGAATGGAACCATGGGCTTCGGCGCTTTAACCAGTAGGCTATCCCATCTGTCACTACTCTGTTTTTGGATGTTTTCAGATGACAGCATGCCGAAATCGTTTCAAGTCGCTCTTTGACTGGACTATATGGGAGACAAGGACGAGTTGTCCGACAGCCATGATGACCAGCTCCACCAGGTGCCAGAGCTCGTCATGGACTTCGTGGACATGTACATTGGAGAAGAAAACCCGAGCCCCCAGGCCAACCACATGAGACACCTGTCACACAAGACACCAGCCAGGCTGAAGACACGGGTGCTGTGACTTCCGGAACGCCCGTCTCCGATCATCATAACCAATCCTTGAGTTCCACGACTGAAGGTGATACCAATTCTACGGATGCTAAGGAATCGTTCTCTGAGACTTGCCAGGCTATATTTGGGTGTGGACCTTCCTCTCTCCCCGGATCGCTCACAGGCAGTCCTTCCAGTGTGCCCGGATCGCTCGCAGACAGACCTTCCTGTGTCCCTGAACCGCCCGCCGACAATCCTTCAATCCTCCCTGGATCGCTCCCCAACAATCCTTCAATCCTCCCAGGATCGCTCCCCGACAATCGTTCCTGTGTATCCGGATCGCCCGCCGACAATCCTTCAATCCTCCCTGGACCGACCGCCGACAATCCTTCAGTCCTCACTGGATCGCTCCCCGACAATCCTTCCTGTGTGGCCGGATCACTCGCAGACAATCCTTCAATCCTCCCTGGACCGACCGCCGACAATCCTTCAATCCTCCCTGGACCGCCCACAGACAGTCCTTTAATCCTACCTGGCTCGCTCCCCGACAATCTTTTCGGTGTACCTAGATCTCTCGCCGACAACCCTTCAACACTCCTCGGACCGCAAGCGGACAGGCCTGTGTATGTTCCCGGATCGCACGCCGACAATCCTTTCTATCTTCCAGGACCGCGCGCCTTGAGTCCTTCCTCTCATCATAGTTCCCTCTCCGACAGTTCTTCCTCTACCTGCTCCTCCTCTTCTCCCGCCTCTCCCTCGTGGTCATATGGGTCCAGTTCCTCCGGCTGCAGCCCGGTGTCCGACGTGGACAACTCCGACACCAACCAACTGGATGTCTCCAATAGCAGCCAAAGCTCCCCCAGTTCAAGTGGATCCGAAGATCATGTGCCTCGATATACGGCAGGTACGATTCAGTATAAGGCTGTAGCTGATAAACAATCGGACTGGAAAGGCCAGGTTTTGAATTACTTTGAACAAAAGTTTGTTTCTCCTAAGGACATCCCGGATGTCCAGCCCTGCCCCGCTTTTAACCAGACCAGTAGTTTCACAGCCGCTGGTGTTTCTCCGGATGACAATTATACCATTGAATTGAAATCCTCTTCATGTTGTAAAGATGTTCGACCAAAGGAAACAACGGCAGTTCTACGTACCAGTCCTAACATATGGTATTCCTCGCCTACAGACAGTGAAGGCTTAAGATTTATGTCCCTTGAAAATGAACCGGAAAAGCGACTCTTCTGTGACCTTGACCCTCCGGTTTCTAAAAGGGGAAGTGACGATAGTTTCAGGATGGACAGTGTACATGAGAAGGACAACCCAGGGCCGGATATATACAGCAATATCGGTAATAAAGAAATTTCAAGCACCATGACAGAAAACGACGAACATATATCACCGAAACGTCATTTTCCGCAAATGAAGTTTGAAAACATTTCAAGAGGGACAAGAGGCGATCAAGATTTTAAAAGAATGTTTCCAATTCCAAAATTGACCAGAAGAAACAAATGTTTACCTGGAGTATTTGTGTCTCCGGACAGTGTCGGTACAAGACGTATCAAAAGGTTGAGCGAGGACTTCACTGGTTCGGACAGCGCCATTGGCGCTCTTTGTATGCCCTCGAAGAAGATTAAGACAGATACCCCCGGCATGAGCCGTGCCAGAAAGAGGCTTGGAAAGTGGTTGAAATGAGTCCTTGTAGCGCAGCGTGTGATGTGTGGAAGTGAGAGACAGTGTCCCTATGATACGAGTATATGTTGATAACATTAAATGTTTTTGATAATGTCAATGTACTAATGCGTTATTGTCTATAAATAGGACAACGAAGTGACAATATTGCACACATGATGTTATAAGACATCGCTGTCGCACTGTTGCAGACAGGACAGATTATACAACAATATTGTGGACACGGGAGGTTACTAAATAAATATAGTTCGCTATACCGCCATGTATAGTGTAATAAAGCACACTTTTGCCCAGGGCCTAGATTTTCGAAGCTCTCTTAGCGCTAAGATAGTCGTAAGTTAATGTTAATGTAAGGCACTTACGACTATATTAGCGCTAAGAGAGCTTCGAAAATCTAGGCCTGAACCATTATAAGTTAAAGTACGAGGACGCTTGCAATAACGTTATGTAATACCAAGGAGACTATATAATACTTCCCAATGATTAATCTAATGTAGAAAACAAAAAGAAAAACGATGGTGTCGGTGAACGAAAGTAACAATCCTCGTTCAGGGCCTGAACCTGCTGTTCTATTGACGTGTCATGCTCTCAACAATAAGTACTGAATACAAATGTATTTTTAATTGAATTGCCAAGCGGGTACCAGATAAGTTCATCCACTCAAACTGTCCATTTCTAAATGAAAGGTTGGATTTCTTCTAATGACAGTAACTGTCCAATTTGTCATCAGGCATCAGTTAAGACCCACCTTAATCTCTGAATGTGTATAATTCTGATACGAAGAAGTAACTGTCTTAAATTGAAAAGGAGCCCCAGGAATTCAGAGATTCAGAACCTGAGGAAATCTAGACTTGCTTCATCTACAGCTTTTGCATTGCAGAAATGGTTTGGCAGAAGGGAAAATAATGTGGTTCATGGACTGTGAGGCAGACTAGCATCAGTTCAATAACTCTGAACAACTAGTAAGCGCTGGTTTATGTCTGTCTGGGATATGTGGATCTGTGTGTAGAGCGAAATGACCGATGCGTGAGAGAGTGCTGACTTGGTTGATGCATGCCATTGTATATGTGTTGATCGATGATCATGCCTTCAATCACTGGATTGTCTGGTCCAAACTTCACTATTTACAGAATATCCTCATATAGCTGGAACATTGCTGAGTGTGTCGTCAAACAACAAACAGTGATTGGTGGTCATCAAGGGTTACCTGCAGCAGGTGCTCCAGCACCATGCACTTCACTTATCCATGTTGTCAATTGTCATAGAAGTACAATTTAAATGTGTCACATTAACAATTCATAACTTGTGTTTGTTGTTATATAGGCAACAACACTTGCATCATCTTGTCTTCCTCGAGTGAGTGAGGTATCATTGGCCGGCAACCATAGGTTCCACCTTCTTTGAGTGTCATTTTAGAAGTTGGGAAGTACAGTATTGAGAAACTTTATGGATAACAACTAATACATTAATAGAAGAAGTTGTTGTCATTAAAGTTTGTCAATATTGATAGGTTCTTCATATTTTAACCATATTGGTAGACTGGCATTTATTCCCAGAAATAGTCATCTTATTTAATATATACCAAGAACAAATAATAATAACATGGAGCCCATTACAATGCTTTAAGCTGAGACAATCAAGACTTGCTAAATCATTCTAGACTTGAGTTGAGCTCCTGTTTCAATTTATTCTCTGGGGTCTAGGAGACAGACTACCATGTTGGGAATCAACCTGGTCTTTGATGTGACAAACCAACACTTCAACCTCCAACACATCATGGAATAAATCCGAACATACATCAAGGGAATGTCTTACCAGCTCTTCTGGTTATTCCTGTGGATATCCTGTTATCAGTTAAGATCCGGGTTAGAATTGGTCTTCAGAACCAACGCTTGTTGCAAGGGGTGACTAATGGGGTTGGTTGGTCAGGCTTGCTGACTTGGTTGACACGTGCGTAGATGGAGATATTGTTAAAACAAATTGCATCATAATGGTTTGAAGACCTTTGTTATAAATCATTGGTAACATGTCATCAGGCCCCGATTTCTCGAAACAAACTTAAGTCTGAGTTTTGACTTAAGTAAGAGTTTTTACTCAAATTTGAGAAAAAGCAGGAAAATGCATTTCCCAGAATGAACTGAAATTGATATTACACTCAAACATAGTTGACAATTTGAGTTGGGTAGATAGGCTACTTACGTTGTTTGGGCTTTTTTATTTATAAAAATGCAGTTCAGTTAAAAAATCAGCTGTTTCAAATTGTCAAACTCAGTTTGAAATTTGAGTAAAAACTTAAGTTTTTTCGAGAAATCGGGGCCAGATCACATGAGATCGCTCCCTGGCTCTCATGCTTCTTGTCTCTACCCCCATGAGTGAAGATCCGGGTTAGAACTGGTCTTCAGGAACACATGCTTGTCCTAAGAGGCGACTAACGGAATTGGGTGGTCAGGTTTGCTGACTTGGTTTACAGGTCATCGTATCCCAATTGCATAGATTGATGCTCATGCTGTTGATCACTGGATTGTCTGGCCCAGACTCGATTATTTACAGACCACGCCATACAGCTGTAATATCGCAGAGCACAGCATAAAACTGAACTCACTCGCATCCTGATATAAACCGTGGTGTAAACTGCCCAGGTATTCATTTGCATCATTTTATCTTGGTGTTCAACAGGTGAAAAGTGAAAGTTTAATCTTCCTATCAGTGTGTGAAGTTGTCACTAACCTTGAGGTTCCCAAGTGAGTGTGAGTGATTTTTACGCAGCTTTTAGCAATATTCCAACCGGGGACACAGAAATGGGCTACACACATTGTACCCATGCGGAAAATCGAACCCGAATCTTTGGCACGAGCAGCGAACGCTTTAAACACTAGACTACCCGGCCGCCCCTCCTTTTAGATGAACCCTTTAGTGCTGCATTGTGCACTTCAGCATACAATTTTGTGCTTACAAGTGTTCATCTGACTTGAACCTCTGTTTATTTTACACACTCCCATCTCTTCACAAATGAAGCTGACCACGTAGTTTGTAAATTTTAATACAAATACACAGAACAACATAATTATCAGGCTTTGAATGATTTTATCACTCTTAATGATTACAGAAAACAAGAAATAATTAAATTAACAACAAATATTCACATAGCTCTGCAGTTTAGCAATATTCCAACCGGGGACACAGAAATGGGCTACACACATTGTACCCATGCGGAAAATCGAACCCGAATCTTTGGCACGAGCAGCTTAGCGCTTTAAACACTAGACTACCCGGCCGCCCCTCCTTTTAGATGAACCCTTTAGTGCTGCATTGTGCACTTCAGCATACAATTTTGTGCTTACAAGTGTTCATCTGACTTGAACCTCTGTTTATTTTACACACTCCCATCTCTTCACAAATGAAGCTGACCACGTAGTTTGTAAATTTTAATACAAATACACAGAACAACATAATTATCAGGCTTTGAATGATTTTATCACTCTTAATGATTACAGAAAACACAAGAAATAATTAAATTAACAACAAATATTCACATAGCTCTGCAGACACTTAATCCACTTTCAAATACTTTATATTTACATAGCTTCACCTTACAATAATAACAGCTTGTATAGCACTAATACTTTGCTCATAAGGACATCAAAATAACCCAGGATAAAAGTGGGTGAATTACTCTGAATTTACAGAAAACATAACAAAATAGGATCTTGTTTTAATACACCTGTCAACAGGTGAGTAATTACTGTAGTTAGTAATTCTTCAGCCGTGACAAGACCTTTTCATACAACTAAAACAAACAAATCTGGTGCCTTGACAATTCAAGAGAAAGTAAATTTCAATCACAAACAAATTGAAAAGCCTTAGAAATCTACAATCTGGGACCCATTTCACAAAGTTATCATAGTGATCCGACTGTCATAAGTCTATGTTGAAGTATGGGAGTTACTATCACCTTATCGCTACGATCGCTTTGTGGAAGAGGCACTGGGCTACACTGACAGGCTGTGATGGACTGTGACTGGCAATGGTAATAAACTACTGTTTGAGAATTACACTTTCTTAGTAAAGTACAGATTCTAGTACTTTTGGGGTTGAGTCCCATACGGGATTGGAACCCACACCCTCAGAGTCAGACACCTAATTGCCAGCACACAAAGTCAGACGCCTAGACCACTCAGCCACCGCTGCTTCCACAATCAATCCACAATCAATGGAAGCCGCGGTGGCTGAGTGGTCTAAGTCTGACTTGTTGCTGGCTATTAGGTGCCTGACTGATGGGGAGTTCAATCCCATATGGGACTCAACCCAAAAAAATAGAATCTAGAAAGTGTAATCCCAAATATAATGTATGTTACATTTGACCACTTTCTAAAATGGCATTGTGTATTTCATACTGTTTGAGAAGTTCGAGAAGAGTTGAGGCAGCGGGTATTAAAGTTGATTTTTTCCTACTTTCTGAGAGTTTCATAGGTGAATGGCAATGTCAGCATCAAGTTGAACTGGTATGGCGATACAGAGTGAGTGAGTATAGTTTTACGCCTCTTTTAGCAATATTCCAGCAATATCAGGGTGGGGGACACCAGAAATGGGCTTCACACATTGTACCCATGTGAGGAATCGAACCCGGGTCTTTGGCGTGACGAGGCAATACTCTTACCACTAGGCTACCCCACCACCCCTGGTGATACAGAGTTTAATGTATTAGATACTAATTTATCAAAGAGTAGTTTTCTTTTCTAAAAGAAGAAAACTCACCACATTCTGGTCATCGCCTGAGTAATCTTCACCAATGTCTGAAACAGCTAGTCTTAAGACAAGTATCTCGGTATATTAATCATTTGCATCCAGAATTTTGTTACATGTTATATTTAGGATTACACTTTCTTAGTAAAGTACAGATTCTAGTACTTTTGTTGGGTTGAGTCCCATCCGGGATTCAAACCCACACCCTCAGAGTCAGGCACCTAATCGCCAGCACACAAAGTCAGCTTCTGCGGGTTCTTGGTTAGACTCATGACATTTTTGTGCTGTCGATTAGCTGCCTGACTCTGAGGGTGTGGATAATCATTGCTAATTCTTCCCATCAGGGCAATATTTCAATTATCGAAAGTGGCAAGTCATTTTATCCTTCTAACCCAATTCATTCATTAAAACACTCTGTCTAGTTCCTTCCCCTGCTGACTATGGGCAAGGATCTATGCACTTGCCCTCTTGGCAAGTGGGAGAAAAATATTAGGGGTGATAATCGATATCACCGACATACATAATTACAAGATACACTGTGCCTTCCCCTTTATAGGGATCTATGATACAAGATGCTACTATACAAGATACAAATTATTTACTAGTCTATCCCTACTTAATTCATCCCTCGCAATTACGCCCTTTGCGTTTGTACTTGTTTAATACCACTCTCCACCCCAAATATTTTCTCAAATACTGCAAACATAAATGCAATAAGTGGTTTAAGTTTACTCCCAAAACTTACCACTACAAACATGAATAGCTAGGCTTTTTAAGTAGGAAGTTGCTCTCAAATATTGATAGTCAAGAAGTTTCCATGTGATCATACTATGCATTCTATCATGACTTATGTATTGTGATACATATTGTATCTTGACCTTGCAGTATAGTTTGTTCACCCTTAAAAAATAAAACACTGAACACGTATTGGTCCATCTCACCATTTAAATGTTTCACTTAGTTCGTTTGTTTGTTGTTGAAAGCTGCACTCAGTAATATTTCAGCTATATGACAGCAGTCTGTCTGAGACAGACAATCCAGTGATTCACATCATGAGCATTGATCTATGCAATTGGGATACAATGACATGTGTCAACCGAGTCATTTAGTCGTCTCATGGGTTGCTGAAAAACAATTCTAACTAGAGTTTGCTTTCTTCCCTGCCAAAAATGCTTGGCAAAGAATCACCTAAGAATCACCTAAGAAGCTATAAGGAGATGGGAACTTGTATAATACAGCTGTAAGGTCCTTGAAATTGTACTGTATTACTGAACAACTTATCCTATTTCTCTCCATACATGATAAAACAATTGAGCATGATGAAGAAGAGATTAATATCTTGTGGTCCAATGTAGTAAAACCATACTCAGATAGAACACGGAATTGGTCGCTATTAACTATCAAAAAAGCGAAAATGAGCTAAGTTTCTCCAATAAAACTGCCATGTTTCTCATTCTGTCAACATAGTTTTTACAGTCCCATAATCATATTTTGTGGGATTGTATAACCAAGGGAAGATAACTCCACTCTGCTGTGGAGTTGTCTTCCCTTGGTAACAATGGAGGAGTTATTATAGGGTGGACTGGGCTTGTGTGCTGTAGTTTTTAACTTTCATGAATCACTGGAAAAGGGAATGTTGATATCAAATACAAGTTCATTTTCAGGAAGATTGTACCCTTCTAATCACAGGGATAGAAATACAAGTCTTTTGAAGGGTGCCATTGGGTGGACAGAGAATTAAAATTAATCTGAAGGCCTGAAATAGTGTGATCTGAACAGAGTGCAACAGTTCAATGGTCAAAATTGATGGGTGTCCAAGCGTTTGAGGTTTTCTCCTAAAGGTTATAAACTTCTCATATTAATCTTATTATTGGTTATGACAAAGCCAGTGACTTTCAGGCTAGATTCAAACACTGCATATGGTGGCATAAACTGCTTTAGTGAATCATTCCAGGCTAAGTCATTGTAAACCAACAAAACAATGCCATTACTATACACAATGAAGATAGTGGTATTAATTATGGATGCAACATCAAATTTCAGAAGTTTATACTTAAGCCTATTCCAGAATTCTGGTCTCACTGGTCTCATTTGTCTGTGGTTCCTGTTTGAACAAGACAAACGTATTTACAGTTTCTTTCAGTTTTATACAGTTCCAGTTTGTCCCTCCCTCACCTCCAAAGAGCACTGGAAACAGCAACAAAAGTATTTACATTTTCTGTCAGTTTTATACAGTTCAAGCTAGACCCCACCAAAAAGCACTGAAAACAGTGTATTGAAAAAAACAGACCTCAAATCCAGCTAGTCAGTAAGGACTAACATCATTCGATTCTACTTCCTTGACAAAACTGAGAAGTCTTGGCTAATGAATTTGATTGTGGACTCGTCCACAAGGGACAATTAGTCTTCCCATGGATTCATGTCTGTATCAATTGCTATACAGTTGTATGCAGCATAACGTAGCTTCTCCTCTGCCAACTTGGCATTTGAGTAATAGGGAAGATATAACATGTTGGCACATGTGGAAGATTCCGGCAGTGAGTCAATAGCGTCCCCTTTTCCTGAAGATATGTACAGTGGAGCTGGGAGTCGACGACGACCAGTCACAAAGCGAAGGAACCGACTACGATCCTCGTTTGTAAACTTCTTCAATGCTTCCCAGAGGTACTTGACTCTAATGTCGGTCTCCTCCATGTCGTCATAGTGGGTGGCCCTCTTGAGAGCCTCAATGGTGATGTCCGGGTCTCCACACACCCGTGTTTCTAGTTCCTGCCATGGGAGAAGGTCAAGGACAGCCTTTGGAATGGTCTTCAGCAACCCTCTCTGAAGTGCCTGGATCTGTTGGTCACTTTCTGCCATTCTGATTTTCTGAACTTCTCTGCAGTAGTCTGTCCGATCTTCATATTTCAGTGACAGAGGATTTCCGTCTGAGTCAACTTTGAGGCTGACGCTTGTGCCATCGCTCAGAGTGAGGCTCCACTGTCTCTCAAGGGCAGAGAATGTCTGTTCATCCATTGTTTTAATGGTGTTGATAACCTTCACTTCAGCTGCATCCACAGTTTGAAAGTCATTTACCCAAGTGACATTTTCTCCTACCAGCTTCTTCCAAACAAAGGCAGAGAGTGAGAGAATCAGGCTTTCACGTCCTCGGAAGCAAGCTCCCATAATCTGGCCAAGCCACTCATACTTTTCAAACTCCTGACATTGCGGGTTTGGAATGTAAACATCACAAGAGACACTAGCATCTTCCTGGGTTTGGTTTGGTGCTCGGATGAAGAATGGCAGAGAGACTGGTCCATCTTTGGATGTTGGGCACAGCTCTTCTGCTAGGTCAGACAGACTGTCCCTGAATCCACCCCCTTGATCAATGATCCCTTCTGACAGGAATTTACACTCCCACCATTGGTCATGACGAGCAGACCATCTATAATCCAGAGGGTCAGATGAGCGTTCTCGTGGCTTAAGCCCTTCATACAATTGCATGAACACTGAATTTTTGTAGTCAGTGTCTAGATGAGGTTCACATCTGTGTTCCATAGCTGCCCTTCGGTTCACATACACAACTGGCTTCTCTGGTGGTTCTGTAGCAGATGCCTTCAGGAAGGTGTCTATCAGAGACAGGCGCTTCTTTGACAGGGGAAGAAGTTGTCTCACTATTTCCAGAGAGTTGTACGATCCTATTGAGAATTGCCAAGATGGTACCAGATGCTGAAGAACACTGTCAAGGATTGTAATGAATCTCTGGAGGCAAATGGACCTTCTGTACAGTTGGTCAGGGTTGTATGAGTCAAGAAGAGGAAATCTCACCAGATTCTCCCTACCAAAAAAATCTCTGTCAAATCCAAGGGATCGTTCTTCAGTAGATACTAACTTGATGGAACGAATTCTGGTGTCTATTCCACCAGTCTTGCATTCCTTGATCCTGATCATGACGATGGGATAATGTTCTGTCATGGTGCCCAGCAGAGCAACATCCTGTTGATCACTCACAGTATTCTCAATGGTTACTGTATTGAGGATCTTTAGATTATCTTGTTCTCCACCTTGAATTACAAGACGTGACGGCAGATAATTATCATCAGACCCATCAACAGTGATGCTTAATTTTTTAATAATGGTTCCTTTCTTCATCCGTAGCTGTATCCAATGTTGCCCTTGGTTACCATCACTTTCCCAAAATGTGTCAGCATCCCCATCAGTCAGATTCAGTGGTCCATCTTCATCACAGTAAGAAGATACATCTATGGATTCCACATAGCTTTTCATGCTACCTAGCTGGTCATTTTCAGAGGGAAGATGTTGTGACATGAAGTTGACAAGAGACTCATCATGTTCTAGAGTCCAGCCTGGTGGAAGAGCTTGCAGTCTGGCCACAGCGTCACGGTCTGGTTCTGTAATGGTCTTGGTGCATGCTGGAAACTGCAGCATGTACTGTTGCTCAACCACTTCCTGCCACGTTGAAACATTTTTTTCAGGTTTTACTTGGTCTGTAGCAGACGATCCCTGGGTCGTGGTCGGGGTTGAGGGGGCTGGTACAACCGTGGGTGCGTCTTCTGTTGAACTTCGACTGCTGAACAGCAGGAGCCACATATCAGTGTCAAACACCTCAGCTTCTGAGCTAGGTGACGCTTGAATCTTTTTCACTTTTATCCATTTACCTTGAGAGTCGCATAGTTCCTCGCCACTGACGTACAAACGAGATTCTGGTGTGCACGAGAACTGACGAGTTTTCTTGGTGCCTTCTTCTGTCAGTGTCAGTGATGTCTTGTGTGGTGAATGGTACACAAGTTCAGCAGGGACGTAGCACAAACTCTCAGGGAGACATTTCCTTGTATTAAAACAGTCGATGCATTCTTGCAGACATCGTATTCTTGCCAAGCGGAGTCTCGCCTGGGGAATCAGCATTTTTGTTAATCACGTCAGGCACCACACCACTGTATACACCGGACATGAATACTCAGATTCACTACTTCCGTGTAAACATGCGTATTACAATCAGGGGAGGTAACCCGTACGGCCTGTCATGCTGTTTGTAATATGCATCCATACGTCGTTCCCTCTAGCAATTTGTCAATATGTTGTCCCAGAATATACCCATATGACGAATTCATACTTCTTTAACATTTTCTTATTTATTTTAGTCCCAAACTATAGCTATGCAAACGTGAATCGGCGTTTTGGTGTATTTTTAGTGGTACGAAATAAACTTTGTAAAGAGTTACTAACCCTTGTACTGCACTTTACTTCCGGTTGAAATAATACACATAATATTTGCAGACGATGGAAATAATTGATCAAAGATGATCGTTATTTCTGCGACAGATTGGTGCATTACTGACACATGTTTGGTTGTCCAATTTCATTCAGGTAAAAATACAGTATTATCATTTGCAGAAGACAGAAGAAAAAATATTTTCAGCATTCCGCATGACCTAGTAAGGGAGAAGAGCTGTGCGTTTCAGCCGAGAGAATGACAAGTGTAGATGATAACTTTGAGTTTGAGGTCATTGAAGGGATTGTTAGAAAATATTTGGAACTACAAGAAATAATTTCGAATATTTCGCTAACATTATGCTTTGTCAACCATTAGTGCAACTATCATACGTGATAACATAGGTTATATATTATATATACCATTGCAATACACAGGGTTTTATCTCAACTCACAAACATGGGGGCCCCGGGGATCCTCAATTATTAGTTTTGAGGGTCCTTGCAAGCAATATGAGGGTCCTGTGAAGTATCAATAAAGAAATCAATGTTGCTTTACCTCAAGCTGTGAGCAACATAACGTGCAACCCATCATATATACTTTATCAACTTGCAATAATATTTCCTTTCCAATTATGAAGGGTGGGGCTATGGAAGAGCTTATTCATGTTGTGCATTTATCACCATGATAATAACAACTTAATGAGTAATGTAAAAGCATATTCAGCATATTCAGTTAATACATTCATTGAGAGCACTTTTAGAATTCAGCAGCGCAACTTCTCGTGGGGATGGTCCCTGTCATAGTTTATATGTCACTAAGACAAACAACCAGTTGTTGTGAGAATCCATCAGATGCAAACCGGCGACATTCATATTGTTAGCCTGACCGCTGTTAATCCGACTGAGTTATGTCCACAGTGTTACTTTTTGTGTTAATCTATCTAGTGATGCCTGAGGGTTATGGAAATGAACGGAAAGGGTCGAATGGGCCACAGACAGTTACAAAGGTCACAGGTAAACATGATGTCTTGTGATTGTAATCTTCAGACAATTTACGAATGATCTCAATGCCATTTGGCACAATCGTCCCTTTCCGTAATCTACAAGATACAGTGTGGAACATGAATGGCATGCTTTTAAAAACATCACTAGGTGATTTTGTGGCAGAAAAGTGTTGACGGGATTACTGTAAGGCTACTATGCATCATTCTATGGAATGGGAAAGACATGAGCATGTCTGGTGATGCCACAAGGGTAAGTCAGCTTTCAAATATTTGCTGAATAAATGTGAAAGTAGCTAAGTGCAAGTTCCAGGACAATTTCCATTAGCCTAAATTTTCACATTAAACCATTTCATTGTGTACTTTCAACGTTTTTGTGTGAAAAAAAGTATTAAAATTGACAAAAGCTTCAGCTCCCCTACAACTCCCAGCATCTTCTCAAGGTTTTCATTGCAAAACCGGTACCTAAATAAATAACTAATTTATTGCAAATGATATCCCATGACAGTCATGATGGTAGATATCCAGTGAATGTGTGGAGCTTCAATTAAAATAATCAATAAACACCATTCCTTCATAATGATGCAATTTACTGAATAAAAAATATATATATGTACTTTAGTCTGACTGACTGACTGAGTTTAGTTTTACGCCGCTTTTAGCAATATTCCAGCAATATCACGGCCGGGGACACCAGAAATGGGCTTAACACATTGTACCCATGTGGGGAATCGAACCCGGATCCTCGGCGTGACGAGCCAACGCTTTAACCACTAGGCTACCCCACCGCCCCTGTACTTTATATATTCAAATTAAAAAGTGCATTCATAAACTGGCACTTACTATCAAATGCACCACTGGTGACTATATTTAGCAAACAAATGCTGAAAACTGCCATTATTTCTGGGCTTATTCATGATAATGCATATAGAGACACCAAAACTCTTAGAGGAACTTATTCACACTGGATAACCCACCAACAGTCTAACTTCACAGGGCATTTTTGGTAACAAAGTTTCACAAATGACGTCGAAAGGTATTGTGATGTAATTTGTAAAGTTTGTGGTGCTGAATTCTAGAGGGATTCTAAAGGTGTATTCATTCTAATTACCACGGTACTGCACAATCTGCGGTCAGTCACATCAGTATTAGGTCCAGAGTACTATTACAAACTAGTTTGGAAAATATGCTTGTAAAATATTGCTGTTGTGTGATTACAGCATGATTCAAATTAGTATGATCATTATGTCTTCATTTGCAGGATGCGCAGACGGAAGAGAGTTCGAGCCTTGTTACTGTCTGCCATTGACCGACTCATCTCATGTTTAGAATTCTGTCAGGTATGATAATCATGATAATCTGGTAGAATAGTTTAATATTCTGATATTTGGTGAGGCAGCATTTGATATCTGTAGTAAACTGAAACCAAAACAGTCAGTAACTAATGGGCCATATGAGAAATTCTTCTTGTTTTGTAAGTTTTTATGAAATGGCTACTTGCAGGTGTTTGTAAATATAAGTTGTGCTGATCAATCATTTTTTCAATGTGTTGGGAATTGGTTCAAATCAAATAATTGTTAATTGGTTCATTACCAACGAGCAATTGCCGAAAAAAATTGGTTAGCGCAATTTTTCAGATTTTCCTGTTAAGGTTGTTATTGCAGGTACCCCATAAGTATAATGTGGTTCTCTGTTGTTGTTTTATTTGTTTAGAAACCGAAGAAATTGCATTTGCAAATTTCACATCCAATGTAAAATAATACAACTTGAAACTTTGATTGATGACTAATATATCATGAACATAACCTTCCTGGTAGTCTTCAAGAAATATTCAGTCATGACTCTTCAGTAAGTGTTCAAATTGAGTTTTCTAAGAATTAAACACGTTTACAGGCTCTGACAACTTCTAAGATATGTTCCATTGTCAAGTGTTTCAAATATGTCCAAAATCGTTTGTGTTCGAATATGAGAAAATTTGATTGATTGCTTGGTTGTTTGGTCACTGCGACCAGTCTTATTTCAATTGTCCGGAACACCACTACTAATCAATCATGTTTTCAATGTTCATTGAATATATAATCAAGCGATTTTGAGTCATAATCAGATTATATGCAAATACAGATTGAAGTAGTATATACTATGATAGGTATTGGTTGATACACTAGATGGTGAAGTTTTATGTTTGTGTTGAAGGAACTGAGTCAAGGACCATGGAAGATGTGTCTGTTTGTTATCCTGATATTGGGGCTGCTGTATGCCAGTGTGTGGAGGATCTTCTTATATGACCCCTGCAACAGCTCACTCATCAGAAAACAGCTGGTGAGAACTTGTCCCACGTTACCCTTGTACTTGTCATATGTAACTCGTGTTATCCATGAGAGAGATGCAGATCACTCACTCATCCACTGACCAAATCACTCGCTCACTCATGTCACGTCATCACACTTTGACGATTGCCCAATTGTATTAGTGTCTACTTGCTTTCCTCCCTCATTAAGCTGGCACAGCATGATATAACTGGGAGTGAGTAAATGAGTAAGTATGGTTTTACGCTGCTTTTAGCAATATTCTAGCAATATCCCGGGGCACACGAGAAATGGTCTTCACAAATTGTGCCCATGTCAGAAATCGAACCTGGGTGAAGGGCGGACACTAGTGGTGGTCCGATTAATTGAAATATTCGAAGATTGGTCGTAGTGACTAAACGACCAAGTAGTCGATCATGTTTTCTCATAATCGAACACAAACAATTCTGGAACACTTGTTTTCATTAACAGTATTTTTCACTAGGTTGGTTTTGTCTGTTACATTTCATAAGCACTACAAGCTCGTTCCAAGTCATGATTGAATTTATCTTAAAGACTCTAAGAAATTCATGTCCCTAACATACTAGTCATCCTTTAAAGATGTGAAATTTGGCCCCCCAAAAAACCAAAGAACTACATGGGTTTTTTTGTTTTTTATTTTGTGTATTAACAAATTTCATAAATGGCGCTAACCAACTATTTTCGATGATTGATCGGTTGTAATGAACCAATCATCAATTATGAGATTTTAACCAATTCCCAACACTAGCGGACACTTTAACCATAAGGCTACCCCATCACCCCTGAAATAACATGAATATTTATATATAACTGTTCAAAGTGGTGTGGGTTCAAATCCCAGTTCAACCCATTATTTTACTAGGTTTACTAACATCATAATCTTTAGGTTTTACCAAAGTAGTCAAGGAGGGAGGGAAAATGCCACTTAATCATTGATAATGAAGGAAAATGACAGCAAGGGAACTAATGAATCTTTTAAGTTGCTGTCTACAAATATTCTGTGTTCTCATGTTTATAGTATTGTCATATTTAACTATTCATTAACTACATCAGGAACAGCACTGTATCAAGATGCATTCAGATACACACCATCAGAAATAAGGACATCAGTACATTTTGTCTGTGTCCCAGGATAATCAAGTACAGTGTATTAGTTTATCATGATTGTCTTATGTTCCTATCCTAACAATACTGTCCACCTAAAGTTACCATGTTTGGACTTTCCAGGCACCAGGGCCTAGATTTTCGAAGCTCTCTTAGAGCTAAGGTAGTCGTAAGTTAATGTTAATGTATGGTACTTACGACTATCTTAGCTAAGAGAGCTTCGAAAATCTAGGCCCAGGATCGTATTTTGCCACTTGCACCTTAATTGAAGGAATGTTGAACTGTGTTCTCGGTTCTTGTTTCAGTGTAGCCAGTATCATACAGGCGAGGTGTCCGGTGCACTATGTTACCCCATGTGTATACAAAATGTACAGTTCTTCTCCTATTGTGAGGCAACAGAGGATGAGAAGGTAAGCACTGTCTTACTGATCTGTTAAGAAGACTTCAGCAATACAATGTTTGAGGTCCCTTGCATCTGGAATGTTGTTGAGGAGGTCCCTAGCATCCAGTATGTTGTTGAAGAGGTCCCTGCCATCAGTATGTTGTTGAGGAGATCCCTAGCATCCAGTATGTTGTTGATGATGTCCCTAGCATCCAATATGTTGTTGATGATGTCCCTAGCATCCAATATGTTGTTGAGGATGCCCAGTAATCCAGTATGTTGTTGAGGAGGTCCCATCCAGTAGCATCCTAGTATGTTGTTGAGGAGATCCCTAGCATCCAGTATGTTGTTGATGATGTCCCTAGCATCCAATATGTTGTTGATGATGTCCCTAGCATCCAGTATGTTGTTGATGATGTCCCTAGCATCCAGTATGTTGTTGAGGAGATCCCTAGCATCCAGTATGTTGTTGAGGAAGTCCCTAGCATCCAGTATGTTGTTGATGATGTCCCCAGCATCCAATATGTTGTTGAGGAGATCCCTAGCATCCAGTATGTTGTTGAGGATGTCCCTAGCATCCAGTATGTTGTTGATGATGTCCCTAGCATCCAGTATGTTGTTGATGAGGTCCCCTAGCATCCAATATGTTGTTGAGGAGATCCCTAGCATCCAGTATGTTGTTGATGATGTCCCTAGCATCCAATATGTTGTTGAGGAGATCCCTAGCATCCAGTATGTTGTTGATGATGTCCCTAGCATCCAGTATGTTGTTGATGATGTCCCTAGCATCCAATATGTTGTTGAGGAGGTCCCTAGCATCCAGTATGTTGTTGAGGAGATCCCTTCCATCAGTATGTTGTTGAGGAGGTCCCTAGCATCCAGTATGTTGTTGATGATGTCCCTAGCATCCAGTATGTTGTTGATGATGTCCCTAGCATCCAGTATGTTGTTGATGATGTCCCTAGCATCCAATATGTTGTTGAGGAGGTCCCTAGCATCCAGTATGTTGTTGAGGAGGTCCCTAGCATCCAGTATGTTGTTGAGGAGGTCCCTAGCATCCAGTATGTTGTTGAGGAGGTCCCTGCATCCAATATGTTGTTGAGGAGGTCCCTAGCATCCAGGTCCCTAGCATGTTGTTTGAGGAGGTAGCCCCAGTATGTTGTTGAGGAGGTCCCTAGCATCCAGTATGTTGTTGATGATGTCCCTAGCATCCAGTATGTTGTTGATGATGTCCCTAGCATCCAGTATGTTGTTGATGATGTCCCTAGCATCCAATATGTTGTTGAGGATGTCCCTAGCATCCAATATGTTGTTGAGGAGGTCCCTAGCATCCAGTATGTTGTTGAGGATCCAGTATGTTGTTGAGGAGGTCCCTAGCATCCAGTATGTTGTTGATGATGTCCCTAGCATCCAATATATTGTTGATGATGTCCCTAGCATCCAATATGTTGTTGAGGAGATCCCTAGCATCCAGTATGTTGTTGAGGAGATCCCTGCCATCAGTATGTTGTTGAGGAGGTGCCTAGCATCCAGTATGTTGTTGATGATGTCCCTAGCATCCAGTATGTTGTTGAGGAGATCCCTAGCATCCAGTATGTTGTTGAGGAGGTCCCTAGCATCCAGTATGTTGTTGAGGAGATCCCTGCCATCAGTATGTTGTTGAGGAGGTGCCTAGCATCCAGTATGTTGTTGATGACGTCCCTAGCATCCAATATGTTGTTGAGGAGATCCCTAGCATCCAGTTTGTTGTTGAGGAGGTCCTAGCATCCAGTATGTTGTTGAGGAGAGCAGCAATTTATCGTACACTTCTCAACAGTACTCTGTTTGATTCTATAAAGAGGCATACTTTGTATTACATATAGTAAAGTTCTGAATAAATGTTGTCTTGATACCAACTGTTTTTGACCATTTCCTGCTATGAGATCATGCTTACTGCTATATTTCAGAGCTTTGTATGGCACCAGACGAAGTTCAGGGTTCAGATGATTGATGAGTCTGTGCCGTGGTGGAAGTTGCAAGAAGGCACTTCGATATCCGAGTTCAGAGGTCAGGTGTCATCCTTCTTACAGCAGAAACTTGGACATTCCATATACGAGGACTTAACAGACAAGCTCTTACTGTATGCAGACTTTAATGAAGACGGAAAGGTGGATACCCTTTTCACAATTCATAAATATTTCTTCCAGATGGTAGGAATTATACATGACATTTAGGGGTCCTTGTCATAACCCAAAGATGCATGAAGATCTGGGTTAGAATTGGTCTTCAGGAACCCATGCTTGTCGTAGGAGGTGACTAGGAATACTTGATTGTCAGGCTCACTGACTGGGTTGACACATGTCATTGTATCCCAATTGTGGAGATAGATGCTCTTGATGTTGATCATTGGATTGTTGGTCAAGACTTGATTATTTACAGACTGTCGCCATATAGCTGGAATAGTGCTGAATGCTGTCTGAAACAAAATACAAAACATAACGTGAATGTTCCAAGTTAAGGATTGAGGAGTTCCTTGATACAAATATCCCCGATCTACCCCAAGAGGACCTTACTTCATTTTCAACACTGTGTTCCTAGAAGATGAATGTGATGCTTGTATCCTATGGTTTGTCTAGTTTCAGCTGATAAACATGATTAAGACAACTGTATACCCTGTGTGTAAACCATTGTCTGGAATTGTCTCATTTCAGCTGTCTCTGGCAGAAGCACAGTCACTATGGAGACTCATCCACATACACGAGTTTCTCTTGCTCTTCATATTCCAAAAGAGTTCCACATTCCCTAACATTAATGGAACCTGCGGCCATTTCTATGGATTCCAGCATGCTCCCATTCCTCGTCTGTATGACAAGCAACCAAATAGCTGGCTCAGCAAATTATTCACCAACTCCTACAAATGGGAATTTCCCGCTGGGCCAAACGTGCTCGAGTGACCCTCGGCATTGTGGAATTCAGCATGGACATCTACGAGGAACAGGGCACCAAATTCCTCATGTGTAACATTTCCCCTCTCAATTTCGGCATCACCTTCGACTACGAAGCCATGCTGACGAACACAAAAGACATTGCTTCAGCCTCTAGCATCAAGACCCTTCTCCACAATCAAACATGTTACTCTGATTCTGATTGTCTTTACTCCAGACATTGTCAGTCCCGATGTGATCGGAGGAGTGGAAGGTGTTCAGGGGAGATAATTCATCCCACTTTGTGGTTTATTTGTGATATCATTAGAGACTATTTGTTGTTTGATGCCCCCAAACATCTGTATTATGAGTTGAAGAGATTGTTAGGTAAATGCTCTTTGTTGTCAATGAAAGGAGATAATGCTGATTTAAAGCATGCTGTCGTATACCACGATCTCAAATCTTTTCTCTGGAAAGAAATACAATATAGACCAGATGCATAGTTAAATTTAGCAGTTTCTTTTCACAACAGTTTTAATTTTAGTTTATGTAATATGTTGTCTTTTACAACAACAAAATGTCTGATAGTGATTTCAGTAAATTGTTTCAGGTTTTTAGACCATGTAAAATATCTTTGATAAAACCATCACTTAATACAATTGGACATAATTCTTCCATAATTTTCCTTTTCTTTCTGTGTAAAGTTTAAAGTTTGTATTAATATCCTCAGATTTGGGGAACATTTATCATGCTCGGTATTGTGGGCATATGTTTAATAGAGTGCTTCAACTCTAGTTAATTTTAGTTGATAATATCATCAGATTTGGGGAGATATTTAGCTGTTGAATAATGCTCAGTCCCTGAAAATATGATTTAAACAAGAAACTCCCTTTTAACTGAAATTTATAAAAAAAGAGACTTAATTTAGGGCTATAATAAAAACTTTATTTAGTGCTATAGTGAAGACTACATTTTGTGCTATTGCCATGCAGACTTCATTTTTGCCATTGTGGAGACTTCATTTAGTTCTATGTGGCATTTATAGTGAAGTGAAGACTTCCTTAGAGCTATAGTGAAGACCTCATTTAGGGCTATCTTGAAGACTTCCTTAGGGCTGTAGTGAAGACTTCCTTAGGGCTGTAGTGAAGACTTCCTTAGGGCTATAGTGAAGTGAAGACTCATTTAGGGCTATAGTGAAGACCTCATTTAGGGCTATAGTGAAGACCTCATTTAGGGCTATAGTGAAGATTTCCTTAGGGCTATAATGAAGACTTCCTTAGGGCTATAGTGAAGACCTCATTTATGGAAATAGTTAAGACTTCCTTAGAGCTATAGTGAAGACCTCCTTAGAGCTATTGTGAAGATGTCCTTTAGGGCTATTGTGAAGCCTTTATTTAGGGCTATTGTGAAGACTTCATTTAGAGCTATAGTGAAGACTTCATTTAGGGCTATGGTATTACAATGGTGTTGATCAAAGGGAAAACTAATATAGTTTGGTGACTGTGAGACAGACTATGTTGTATTGTTAGATATGTAGAGACCATACCTGTTGTTATAATAAAGTCAACATATTTAAAAATGTACCTTTAAAACCTGGTTCCTCCATTAACATTAAGTACCATGACTGTAAAATGAGATCAAATGTTATTCACTTGTCACTTTGTTTTACACCATATGGCTAGTTTCATTTTGAAAGAGTATTTCATAATTATCAGATTTTATGGAATGAGCTGCAATTATGTTGTTAATGTTATGTGCTCTGTATTATTTGTATAACAGTGTGTGGTGAGACTATATTCTGTGAATATTAATTCTTGCCTTTTCTTTTTTTGATTAGTAAGTTAAATTTAGTATGTTATAAACTATATTACCACTTGTACCAATGGTTGAATGTTATGTAAATGAGGTGTATTTATATTTATTTAATTACTTGTTGTTGGGTTTCACCTGTCAGTTTCATCTGAGCAACTTCTCGGTTCACGGCCTGTAGGCATGTGGCAGATAGATCTTGTGTCGGGCTGAAGTTTCTGATTTGTATTGCACCTTATGGCCTGCAGTAAATGTATGCCTTGATTGACATGTTTCAATAAGCTGAAGGACTTGTTCAATGGGTTAAGAGTTTCATCAGGGTGTGCGGCTTATAAAGTCTGTAAGCCCTGATGGCAACATGGCAGAATATGTTTTTTAAAACACTGGAAAGTCTTGTGTTGACCTTTTCAACCTTTTCACAGTTGCATTACTAGAAACAGTCATCAGGGTTAGATCTTAAGTCAAAGTTTATCAAGACTAATAACAATAAAATACCACTTTGATGCTAAACTATGTGGAAATTGGGAAGTCTGTACCAGCCCACAGGAAATTGTACTAGCCTCGGGCTAGTGTAAGTTATAACCCTGTTAAGACTTTCTTGATCTGTGAGGTACACTCTAACCGGTTAAAGGGAAGGTCGTTCTGGTGTGACCTGTAATGTCCTCGGGGGCAATGTGACCAGTAATGGGATGTTCACAGGTCAGTGTGACCTATAATGGGATGTCTTCAGGTCAGTATGACCTGTAATGGGATGTTCTCGGGGCAGTGTGACCTATAATGGGATGTCTTCAGGTCAGTGTGACCTGTATTGGCATGTCCTCAGTTCAATGTGTAGCAGTAGCAAGAATTAAGCTCTGATTGTAATGAAATTGTATTTGAGGTAGCATGTTGTTGAAGATGGAAATCCAACTTCCCTGAAAATGGCATGAGTGCTTAACTCCAAATATCACCAAACAATAAATGGCGCGGCATCTGCATTCAGTTAGAGAAAGATTTTAACTTAATATTATGAAACTGAAAGCCAATCAATACACAGTATCAAGTATTTTACCAGGAAGATATCCCATTAATCAGGAGAATTAAACAAGAGAATGTGCCAGATCCAGCACTGAAGCATTTGACAAGACTTGATACCAATTGCACCACATACTTTGTTTTGTATTATTGTTTGGGTGAAGGTTTGTAGTAAGAAGGCAATAATTGTGAAGTGAATGAATCTCTTTTTGATTGTCATATTATCCCACATCCTCTGACAAACAGAATATATAGCTTTTTGAGTATGTAATAACAAAATTCCTGTACAATTCAAAAAGTACTTTTATCGCTGGTATCCCAAATCTGTTGGTGCGTCATGATACAGTACATATCCCAATACGGTTGGTACATCATGATACGACATGTATCCCAATTCTGTGATTTAGATACAGTTTGTATGTCAATTCCATATTCTTTCTGCTAGAGAATGTCAACCTTCAATCATTTGTTAATAAATTTCAGACATTAGAAAGATGACACTGTAGTGGAGAAACAAATAGGATCAAGGCTACTTTAATGCTATTTATAACCTACCAGGAAATTCTCTAGAATCTGGATAAGGGATGTTGAACGTTTTCTTTTATAAATCACATTTTTACAACAATATTATTCTTAATGTTTCATACCATTAAGCATGATACATGGGTTGTAAATTGCTATGTTATAAGTTGTTCACTAGTCACGAGGGGGGACATAGGTTGATGTAGCATTCAGGGTACATCAACCCATGGGTTATTTATCATACCGAACACCTCAATGTTAATTTTCAACTGTTTGAAGCACGGGTATTGGATCATAATAAGGAGTACCGGAGTTAGGCAACAGCCCAAACACTACTAACATGAAGTACCAAACGAATTGCCACAGTTCGGCATTTCCAGCGGGTTACATAGAAAATGTTACTCGCTTGTAAGCATGGTACATTGATTGGCTCAGCCAATCAGAAAACGACATATATGTGTGAGATAAGGTAATCTGTCATGAGCCTTGTATCGGGATACATACTTAATCACCTTATCGTTACAGCTCTAGCGTCAATGGATCTCACAACCAGTATTCTGTATATCTACACTGTGATTAAGGTATGTTATTGTTGTAACCGGGCTTTTTTTTTGCCAGTCTTCCTCCTAGAGCTGAGACAACATCTCAAATACATAATGAGTTGTATGTTTATACCCCATGGAACCCATTTTGATCTACCCTAACACTGTCTCAATTTACACAGCCACAAAGAGGGTAGATCTTACCAAGGGATAAACCTACAGTGAATTCATCTTGCCACAATTTGTATCATTAAGCACAATTTGGAAACAGATGAAGATTGGGATGTAACTAGTATGTTTGTTGACATGTTGCCAAGTTGCGGGTATATCAAAGTTATCAGAACATCATTGACCAATTATATGTGAGAATTTGGCGTGTAAGGTGATTCCATATAAACTCATGGAAACGAATACGGGAACACATGAAAGTACAAGTGTTCCTGTATTTATTTCCTGAATTTCACCCACAGTGCAATACATAACTTGTGAAGAAATCTGGAAAAGAATAAAGGAACACTTGTACTTTCATGTGTTCCCTTATTTGTTTTCATGAGTATATTTTGTTTAAATGTTTAAATGTATATTATGCATATCCAGGAGTGAAAGGATATGAATTCATACATTCATGTATTTTAGCAGGAAAAGAAAAGTTTTATTTTCAAAAGTATTCTTTGATAATGATATGAAATAATCTATAATAACAGCAAACATCAGACTGAATATTAGATGGTGTCATGTTGTACTGTGAAACCAACGAGACAGGGATTTATCTAGGTCTGTTGGAGGCCGACATTCAGTATTAAATTTTAAGCAAATAACTGTAGTTCCCATTTTGAACTTTTGACATATCCCAATTTCTCAGAATTTTATGCAAATAAGAATTGTGTCAAAGGGCAGTGAATAACAATAAAAGTTCCAAAATTGAATTAAAAACTGTAAAATTTAAGAATCTATTAATTGAAAATGCTGTACTGCTAAACCAACTAGACTTGACCTAGCTCCTAGCAAATAACATTAAAGTTTCCAAATATGAATCTTTTTTTAAACTGAATAACAATTAAAAAATAATATTGAAGCAATGTGTAAAGAAGAGTCACATGTCTAGCGTTTAACCTCTGAATATATATATAATTTTGACAGAAAGACACAATTCCTTTAAGTTGAAAAGGAGCCCTGTGAGACGGGAGATTCATAACATAAGGAAATCTAGACTTGCTTCATTTAGGGCTTTAGCACTGCAGATAGGGCAGGGCAGAAGGGGAAATAATGCAGTTCAGGGACTGTGAGACAGACTATGGTACACGTTACATGAGAAAACTTCACGTGATCTGAATGCATAATGGTGTCATCACCTTGCCAGTTTCCCTCTCGTTGGAATTAGGCAACGGCTTAACATATTGGTTAAATATAGGGACTACACTGTGAAGAACGACTATGTGTTGATGGTTGATGGAGGAACGTAGAGGAAGGCCGTTGTCCAAAAACTAGGCCAAGCTTAGTCTTGGAGGGGCTTCCATTTATAGTATTAGTTTTTTAGGGTATCATGACAAAAAGGGTTTGATGTGAGTGTGCAGTCAAAATAAGATTGGTTCCTTGTAGCTAATTGTAATATTGATATCACTGGGATATTTTTTATTATTATCATGATTATTGTCATATTGCACAGTGTTGTTTTGGTTCAACATTTTAGGGTTTATGTGTCTCTGTAGACAAATGTTACCAAAACATCATCATCTGGAAAACAGGGTTTCTGCAGTGTTGGTTTCTGGACAAACAGTGCCTGCAATGTTGGTTTCTGGACAAACAGTGTCTGCAGTTGGTTTCTAGACAAACAGTGTCTGCAGTTGGTTTCTAGACAAACAGTGTCTGCAGTTGGTTTCTAGACAAACAGTGTCTGCAGTTGGTTTCTGGACCAGCAGTGTCTGCAGTTGGTTTCTGGACAAACAGTGTCTGCAGTGTGGTTTCTGGACACAGTGTCTGCAGTTGGTTTCTAGACAAACAGTGTCTGCAGTTGGTTTCTGGACAAACAGTGTCTGCAGTTGGTTTCTAGACAAACAGTGTCTGCAGTTGGTTTCTGGACACAGTGTCTGCAGTTGGTTTCTGGACCAGCAGTGTCTGCAGTTGGTTTCTGGACAAACAGTGTCTGCAGTTGGTTTCTGGACACAGTGTCTGCAGTTGGTTTCTAGACAAACAGTGTCTGCAGTTGGTTTCTAAACAAACAGTGTCTGCAGTTGGCTTCTTGACACAGTGTCTGCAGTTGGTTTCTGGACAAGCAGTGTCTGCAGTTGGTTTCTGGACAAACAGTGTCTGCAGTTGGTTTCTGGACAAACAGTGTCTGCAGTGTTGGTTTCTGGACAAAAGTGTCTGCAGTTGGTTTCTGGACAAACAGTGTCTGCAGTTGGTTTCTGGACAAACAGTGTCTGCAGTGTTGGTTTCTGGAAACAGTGTCTACAGTGTTGGTTTCTGGACAAACAGTGTCTGCAGTTGGTTTCTTGACACAGTGTCTGCAGTTGGTTTCTGGACAAACAGTGTCTGCAGTTGGCTTCTGGACACAGTGTCTGCAGTTGGTTTCTGGACCAGCAGTGTCTGCAGTTGGTTTCTAGACAAACAATGTCCACACTGGTGGTTTCTGGACATGCAGGGTCCATGGTGTGTAATCAAATCTTTGTTTATGATACAGGGAATTCATTATTGAGTACATGTATATTGAGATCAATATAAGAATAGTTCTGTCATATAGTGTGATTTGTGTGTATTCATCACTACCACTGCTGTCAACAAGTGTCAAGAAGTGTAATGAGATTGACAGTCCATGTTTCTGTTGTTTAACAAATGAGATGTTGATAGGAAATTTTGTGATTCCAATTTGTAGACTGACCCCATATTCATGTTTGAACCCTTATTTTATCCAACACAAGATGGCTTTGACCTTGTAGATCTGTTTCAGAAAGATATTCACAATAAATAAATACTGACAAATTCATAAATACAAACACTGTCAACCCAAATCTTGAAAGAAGCTTTATCACATCATTCATTTAATTCCTTCAACAGTTTCGGTAATTTGTTAGGTAAGTGAACAGACTTGTTCAGATTGCACCCTTGTTGGAAATCAAACCCAGGTCTTCAGCGTGAAGAGTGAACAACTTAACCACTAGGCTATCCAGCTGCCCCAATCAGGATATGAACCAGCACTGCTGTTCCAGGAGCAGTGGGGTAGCCTACTGGTTAATGCGTTCACTCAGTCATGTCGAAGATTTGGGTTCAATTCCCCACATGGGTAAAAGTTGTGAAGCCCATTTCTGGTGTCCCACGCCATGATATTGCTGGAATTTTCCTAAAAAGCTGTTGAGCTAGAAACACACTCACTCACTCACTCACTCACTGCTGCTCCAATGCCACAGATTCAGGGAGTTATTCCACAGCGTAGCATGGTTGTATATATTGACACTGCCTGATGCTTGTCGTAGGATGAGGGTGTTGCTATGAAGGTTAACAAGTTCCAAGTCAGAACTTTGAACATGTGTATTATATTTATCATATTATTTATTGTAGAACTTATATGATATGTATGGTTGATTATTGCCGGTGTTAGTAGTCAGTGAAAATTGTATAATCTGAGCAAGGGGACATCCACTAAACAAATTGTATTAGCTAAGATATATTGAAGTTAAAGTTAAGGTTTCATTCCAAGAATTTTGTAGACTGGCTAGATTGCCTTGTCGAGATTCAGATATTTAAATACTGTCATATAGCTGGAATATTCCTGAGTACAGAATAAAACAACAAACCAAACAAAATAAATATTAAGAAACATTTTGCAACATTCTGTGTCCCAAAAGAATTTGAAATACTTCTACTTCCATGTGAACCCAAACATTAAATTAGTTCTCGTTGATGGTGCCTGGACCAGATTGTTGTGTATCAGTTCCTCTGTGTATTTGTTGAGGTGAGGTGAGGTGAAATTGGGTTTAACGTCGTGCTTGAGAATATTTCACTCATATGACGACGTGCATGCGTGTGTATGTGTATGTGTGGCTGCTTGTACTAGCCCAGACTTAAGCTGGTTTTATAGTGCTAGCCCACTGAGATACCATGCCGCAGTGAAGCATGAATACCCCACTCAGACACATTATACTGACTCCGAGCCGACCAGTCCTTGTTGTACCCATTAATGCCGAGCGCCAGGCAAGGACCAACAAGTACCATATTTCAATGTCTTTTGGTATGACGCGGTCGGGGATCAAACCTGCTACCTTCCACTCTCTGGTCGGATGTTCTAACCACTACACCACGGAGGCGGTCTGTATATTTGGAGTCGGGGCTATTGTTTGCAGACAGGAAGTTGTTAAACCTTGTTGGGGTTGCTGTTGTCTTCAAAGAATCCGCTAGTGCAGTTCTGGGAACAAGACTATGCATGGAATGGTCTGTTTGGATGAGGCAGAACAGTTGAATTTGAAGTATGGTTTTGTAAATGTTATAAGTTGTTCACTGGTGACGAGGGGGGCATGGGTTGATGTACCCGCGTTGTTTGTTTTATTTGTACATAAACAAACATCGA